TTCAAGCTAAGAAGTTCAGAGTAAAGAGCTGTTTGCTACTGCATATGTTTTGGTGAACAGAACTTAATACATTCCCTGAAAGCAAACAGAATTCATCAGAGAGAACCACAACTTTTTTTCTCCTGCCTGGAATTCCCACAAGCAGCAGCTACAAGGACCCAGTTATGGTTAAATGTATTTTTAAAAGGAGGTTGCTACCATGCTGAATGAAATGCAAAATCCTSTAAACTAATAAATCCAGCAGCACCTTGTATTTGATTAAAGAACAAGATGATAGGTTAGTAAAACATAATGTTAATTTATTGAATCTTGAAGCAGGAACGATTTTGGTCACCCAACTTACAGAAAACTGAAGCCAAATAACAGCTGATTCAAGCTTGGTTTTGTCTGTTTTTTGTTCTCATTCCAAAACTGAGTCATAGAGACCTTGAAGAACCTGCACTGGAACAACAGCCAAAGAAAACACTCCTACTGAAGAAACAGATCTGCTGAAAGCAGATGTTCCCAGATGGGGACATCCCAGCACAGAGGGTGTCTGTGCCTGCWGTGAGCTGCCCTGTGCCACAGCCTGTCCCTCTGGAGCCTGGTGGCACATGGAGCCACCGCTGTGTCCCTGTCCTGCCCAGGGCTCAGTGCTGTGCTCAGACCCCACAGGCACCTGCAGGTACTTGGACTGCTCACATCCCCCAGCCATGATATYGGCTCACCCCACAGGCTGCGAGCCCTGCAGAGCTGAGGAACCCCAGAGCTCTGGAATTTCCCTGCAACAGTCCCAGGGACATCCCTGGCTGCAGGGCCRGCACACGCCAGGGATGTGTTTGAGTACAGCACAGAGTTTACCAAAGAAAGAAGGGGAAGATTTGCTCTTGATGCCCCCAGCTCTGCCCAGTCTGTGCTCCACTGAGGTACAGCTCATCTCTCCACCTCCTGAGCTGCACAGCACACTGCAGCTGGGAAACACACTCTGGGCAAAGCGAGCATTGCCAGGCATGTTTGCTCAAACCAACTAACATCCAGCATCCCAGCTGGCTATTTACAGAAGATTAACAGCAGCATCTTTCTTGCTTGGATGTCAGAAGAAATTTGAGCAGCAGCAGTGAAAAGTGACAAACATTAAAAGGCCCCCTCGGTGGCTGCGCTGCCATCGCCCCGGCGCCGCTCACAGGGAAACGTCTGCTCGCGTTTTGAAGACAGGGTCAGGCTCTGCCTTGCGGGAAGACAAGGCTCTCCAGCTCCGGGTCAAGGAGAGCGCTCTGTCTTGCTGGGATCGGTGTCACACACGGACTGCGGTGGCCCCAAAGAGGGCTTGAGGCTGCCGAGCCCGCGGGCACCAACCCCGGCCGCAGCGGGGACCGTGGGGCGCTCCTGTCTCCCCATCCCGCCCGCTGTGTCCCGTCCCTGTCGCCGTGTCCCCGTCCCTCTCGCCGTGTCCCCATCCAGCCCGGTGTGTCCCGTCCCTCTCGCTGTGTCCCCGTCCAGCCCGCTGTGTCACGTCCCTCTCGCTGTGTCCCCGTCCCTCTCGCCGTGTCACGGTCCCTGTCGCCGTGTCCCCGTCCCACCCTGCAGCCGGGGCTCCCTCTCGCGGCTCCGCTCGCAGTCACGGCTGCTGCGGCCACACAGCCCCTCCTGCCAGGGCCTCAGCATCCCCCGCATCCCTCTCGCATCTCCGCATCCCAGGGCTCAGTACACGGCGCTGTCTCCTAAGCCCGACACCTTTAGTTCTCCGTACTCCTCACAGCCAGAGCTGCCAGACGTGTCCTTACCCCTCTGCTCCTGACCCATCACAGCCTCACACCACAGCTCCCCAGAGGCTGCTGCTGAGGTCTGTTTGATCCTTCCACAGCCATCCTGCATGATCCCAGTGATAATGCTCAGTGACAACAGCCCCTCACTGTTGGTGTGGCGACATCCAATTCTACAGTACAAAACTGAGAGCTTTGCCTAATTTCCAACGCACAGTTGGTAAAAGGTAAAAAGGGCACCAGGAAAGGGGCAGCRCCCAGCAGCATTGCTGAGCTACACTCACTCTGGAGCCTTTAGCAGAGCTCTTAAAGTGCCTGTGTGATACAGAGGGACTCACAAGATGCTTTCACCCATTGATTATATATTTCGGGCTGAAGTGCTGAGAGACAACCCAGACTGAGCCACTGAAGAACATCTGAAGTCCTCCAAAGGCTCCACCTTCCATATGGTTTATGGAAATAATCTGGCTAGTACAAAAAAACAAGCCCAATTACTAAGAGCTAGAAGTATACCGTCAGCTCCAGGAACCTCCCTCCAACTTCAATAACTAGGAGAGATTACCTCCCCTGTTAGAGGCAACAAAACACCAGTAAACTGTGTGCACACTCCTTTGTCATCCTGGGATTCTTCATAATCTGACAACAAGGACACATTATGGCAATTTTATAACTTTTTCTCCCGTAACTTTGTAGATCATTTGAGCACAACAGGCCCACTATGCTCTTTTCCYTGACTGCAGTTAGAAGTAAATTTATCAATAATGCTTTTCTCACATTCTTTGCAAAGTTATATGAAAAAACAGCTGGGATCTGACATGCATTTAGGTCCCAACCCATCAATTACTAAATACATACTGTATATATAACCTGTATACAAACCTCAATACACACATGTCAAGGGGGTCAGTGCCTGTGTCTCTTGGAACACAGTAAGCACCACTTCGGGGATACTTAGGAGGGCATTATTGTATTTCTATTACAGTATTTTGCTAGCACCAGTAAAACTGCAGTGAAACCCAAAAGCTATGAGATTCATGGCTTTGCTAACCCCAGAGAGATCAATTGCCTCCAGGCTTCTCATTTCTGTTCTTTTTAAACAACGGGAGATAAAAAGCACGTGGCTGATGGACTATTCCCAGTAGACACGGGGTGAAGGCACTCTGGATTCCCATTTAGTGCCCATTTCCCGTTAATGAGGCGATGAAGCTGTCACAGCCGCCCKCGCTGTGCTCGGGGTACCAAAGGCAAGCACCGCCACAGTCCTGCTGTCAGGCTGCAGGAGAAGCTCTAACAAGGCTGTTACCATGGTGCCACCCACTGCCAGAACACTGCACACACCATGGATTACCTGATGGGCACTGAAGTAACTTTACYCAGCCTGCTAAGAGGTTGTTCTCATGTGCATCTCCAAGTTCTCCTGACAGAAATTCAGGTAAGGATTTAAAGGAACTCTCACAGACAGAACAGTTCTTTTGCAGAATGATAACCAACTGAAAAGGTCCCTGCTCTGTGCACTGTTACAATCCTGAGCTCCCAATCATGCACACAAGGCCTACTAGAGCAAACTAAGAGTTTGGTTCTTTCAAACTGAGGCCAAGCCACCATACATTCATTTTCATCAAAGCCATGCATTTAAAATCATAAATATCTCAATCTTTGCAGGAAGCATAAACTGATCAAGCAAGTAAACCCAAGCATTATAAGCAGTTTYTAGTAGGAGTGCTGGTATGCAGGAAAGTGCTCAAGCAGCACTTTAAATTCAAATTRCATCTATTCCTGACAATACCCCAAGAGAAAACACAACTTGTTTAAGTAGAAAGATCTCTATATATTATTTCAACACTGAAGCAGTTAAGGAAGCAGATTTTTCAGTCACCAGTGGAAGTCAGCATTAACACCTACCTGAAGCAATCCAGAATTCCCAGGGGTCCCGTGTCAGCACTTTGTGGGCTGACACTGACCAGGCCCACAGCTCTGAGGCCATGAGTTTACATTTTCTAAATAGATTATGCCTTTGTGACTGTGAGCTCTTGGAGCCACCATGAGCAGGAAACTCCATCCACAAATGAGTCTCACCATAGCTTTGTCCCAGCACAAGTCTCAGGAATGTACATTTCCTTTTGACCTCACTAAGAGGAGTTAAGAAGTACAAGAAACAGGGAAAATCAAAGCCAGTTGAAACAAGTGGAACTTTCTAATGAATGTTTACAAAATGAAGTTTTGCAAAAGCTTGGACCTACATTAGCCAGAAATCCTAACAAGACCAAAAAGCCCAAGATGGAGTTTACCATAGCAAACAAAAATAATTTAGTTTATCCTACCACTGCCACCTTATTTTCTACACCATAGCAGCATTCATCCCCATGCAGACAGACCACCAATATTCCTAAGCCTGACTYACACCTGTCTTTCTGCACACCCATTCTACCAGCCCCACAAACAAGGTTAAAATCTGTCACTACAAAAAGGCCAATCTGAACAATTTAATTATCATCTTTGTAAACATTAAGCAAATGCTTGTTCAGTTTGTTTTGAAATTCTACAAGCATGTTTTAAATGTTTTAATGTGCATGTAGACACGTGTGGACATGTCCCAAAAGGCTTGATTATACAAATAGTTGTAGGTACTTGATCATAGTGAATATTTCAAAGTAACAAAAACAATCTCATTTCACCCTGATAAACTCCAATAACACATATGAAGTACTAGTGTCTCTCTCCCAATGAAATCTGTTTTGTACATACAAAAAGTTATGTTAATTTAGTGTCATAACCCATATTGTGCCTCATTACATTCTCTCTGGGGCCTCACGTACCAGTGAGTGTTTTTACCTGTGTGACTGCCTACCAAGATGCCACGTGATGGCACTGTCTAACCAGTTTCAGTGCCTTAGTTACAGGCCCTTTTCTGTAAAAAAGTAGTCTACAGCTGTATAAGGACCCATCACTCAACAGCTTAAACAGCCACTGGGAAGAGCAAACAAGTTCAAAGGAAAAACACTAGAAGAACCAGCTCTAGTGCTTACTTTACACCAGATAGACAAATTGGTTCAAACCCCTGCATGTTTAACAGACCAARTTAGGCTGAGATCTTCCTGCCTCACTGCCTATCACAACCACAGTCTAACAGCAGGTACCAACTCCTGAATATCCTTAAAAGCTTATCCAGGCTCTGTTGTCATATAATATTCTCAAAGTTCTATTTTATCACCTACATCTTGGGCTTGCTGAAAAAGGACAAGTACAACAGTATACAGGTTAAACTAGCCTTTATTGAAATACAGAACTTTACAAAATTTGAACTCAATAGAAACTTCAGAACACACATTAAACATCGTAATTTGGAGGTAGCATGTCAATGATCTCATCCAGGGTAGCAAGGAAGTCAGCAGTTGATTGTAGCAAGTCTGGAAGTTAGAAATAAATCAGTTCCTCAAACTCAGAATGCACACTAATATGAGCTAGCTCCCCATAGTTCAGCATAAACCTCTTGAATGAGCAAGAGAAATATTGTTTCATAGTATAAATCAATCCCATTTAATTGATCAGTCTGCAATGCACCACAGAAGATTGTTCAGTGTGCTGCTTTTCACTGAGTACAGTTAATTTTCTTCACAGTCACTGGTATGGGCTGTGTTTTGGATTTGTGCTGGGAGCAGTGTTGATAATTCAGGGATGTTTTAGTTGTGTGAGCACTGCTCAGCAGGAGAGTCAAGGCCTTTTCTTGCTCCTCACCCCACCAGTGAGGGGGAGGCTGCAAATGCTCAAGGATCTGGAAGCAGGCACAGCCAAAACAGCTGACCCCAAAAGGCCAAGGAGATATCCCAGACCCCATGGTGTCATGCTCAGCACATAAAGCTGAGGGAAGAAGGAAGGAGAGACAACTGAATTCTGGCACTTGTTTTCCCAGGCCACCATTACATATGATAAGAGTCCTGCTGTCCTGGAAATGTTGAACACCTGCTGATGGGAACTGAATGAATTCTTTGTTTTGCTTTTCTTAAATGCATAGCTTTTGCTTTAGTTATCAAAACTGCTTTTATTTCAAAACATAATCTAACCTTTTTTTTTTTCGTATTTTCCCTTCTGATTTCTTYCCCATCCCACAGCAGAGAAGCAAGTAAGCAGTTTTGTGGTGCTTGGTTGCAGGTAAGTTAAGCCATAAGTCAGCAACACCACAGAGACCACTGACCAAACCAGCAGGGCTGGCCAGGTACACTAAGCTTGACTACACAGCAGAGGCTGTTTGACACTGGTGCAGTGCTCTGAGAGTTTAGAGAGCAACAGCAACTCACTGTAACCAACTGGCTCTTCACCCAAACCACTGATGAGCACTGTGTACTGAAAATCATGCATAGTTTCCACTTACTGGATTCCCATGAAATCTCTTCAATCTCCATGGGTGAAGGAACCGTGTTCAAACATCTGTCATACGTCTTTTCAAATACCGTGAGAGGAACACCACACAGGTTGATRTTGCTTAGTTTGTGTTCTTCAGGAAGATCAAAACTGTCAAAGTCTGTTTGAGAAASACACACTGTAAGTAAATGTGCAGTAGCCTGGGAAGCTGCAAATTCTCCTAGATTAAATTAAATGGGAGCCAATCAAAAAACACAACAGTCTCCTCTTATGGAATATTTATTTGCAGTTACTGCAGTTACACCTTTTAGTTTTCCATGAAATCCCATACACCAAACCCTGATGAAAACGCTAGCCTGCCTAGCAGAACTGCTAATGAGCACAGTTAGTAACTTCAGCAAGGAAAGTACATATGTTTCACCAACACTTTGGCACAGTAGTTTTCACACACTTATATCCACATTAAGAGGAAAGCTTTAAGGACACACTTTGAAGGACCATCTCGTTCTTGTTTAATTATTTTAGAAGTAGCAAGGACCCTTATGTTTCAAAAAGGACTCAGGAGAAATGCAATGCCAGCTTGTGTGTCACAATAGCTTGAATAAAAGCTTACAACAATGCCAACACTTATGAAAGCCTTATTGTTAATTTTAATAGTTACAACAATAGTTCTTACCTCGAGGATCAAAAGGAAACATATTTTCTATTTCTGGCCAGTGTTCCTCAGCCACTTTAAGGCAGCTTTCTAATCCAGTCTTTTCATTAGTCTTAAAAAGAGAAGTCACATTATTTGAGCTCCAATAGAATGTTTGCAGTGGCTTTCTTGTGCTATTCAGTTCTACAGACATGCATATCCGTAATACTGTTCTCAGTCAGGCCTAAATTCTAATACCKTCAACACAAGATGGAGATGGGCAAATGTTTCATTTGAGTTTATAGTGCAGTACTATATACAGTGGTGAGAAATGACTGCACTGAACAGGTAACTCTTAAAATGTGAATAACACATTAACTAGACTATTTTCTCTAGAACCAYCTATGCAGGTGTCCTGCTTTTGGCTAGGATAGAGTTCTTTTTCTGCCTAGCAGTTCTTATGAACCCATGTTTTGGATTCATGATGAAAACAACTTTGATACACACAGCTGTTTTAGCTGCTGAGGAGCAGTGTTTACAGTCCAGGCCTCCTCTGCTTCTCACAACTGCACAAGCTAGGAGGCTGGGAGTGCWCAGCCAGGACAGGTGCCCAGCAGGATACTGCAGGATATCATGCTCAGCAAGGAAAATTGGGGGGAATGCAGGGCTACCACTGTTCTGGGACTGGCATCAGTCCACAAGAGCAGGWAAATTATGCATTTCCCCTCCTCCCCAGCATAAGTGTGGTGTACTCACTTTGTTCAGAGAGCAAGGCTGACTTTTCTGTTTTATCTTATCTGTCTTGCTCGTGACTCCTTCAGTTTTATTCACATTTCCAAGAGCCTTTCTGACAGACCGAGATGCCACTGGAGAAGTACTGAWTGCTTTTTTAGGCAGTGGAGTGTTAAACTGTGTTCTTTGAGCGAAGACTTTTGCTGCAATGGGGAGGGGGAAGAAAAAAAAGCAAACTTTAGCAACCTCTCAACCCTAAAGCTTGCCTCAGTAAGCGCACCTGCTAGAAAACTAGTTGTCATGGAAATCACTGCTMACCATTTATAACTCATAAGYCACATCTATGACAAAAGCACAGAGCTAACTTCAATTTTATAGTAACTGATGAGTTTGGGAGAATTGGTTGGGTAAGTGGATTTTGGAAACTATTACCACTGAAAACAGTGAACAACAAAGCATGATTTACACCCTTCACTTGATCCCTTACTGGCTTAGGGCAGCAAATACGCACAAGAACCTGAAGGGAGCTTCAGCTGACTCTTGGGCRCGCCAACTTCGCTGTTCTCCTGATCGACAAAGATCAGAGTTGCCATCTTCAAATTGATGAGATCACCCTATAGAGTCCATACATCAAAAAGAGAAAATAATTTTTTTCATTTCTTTCACCACAGCACACTTTTAAAGGACAAATTTAAAAAGGACTATCTCCCAGCTTAGCATCCTTGGCTCAACTTGTAGCACTTGAAAAGTCAACAGTAACACCAGTTACTTCACTTGCAGAGATATTCTCACCAGAAAAGTAAACCCTCAGAAAACACCCAATACAAATAGATCACTGCTAGTTTTCAGCCCTACCTGAGACACCAGGTGAGAGCATCTGCACTGTAACAAGGGCACAGCAGCTCCTGCCTGGAGCCATTTCACACATGGGCAAGCAACTCCTCATTAAAGAGGTCTGCAGGGAAACTCAAGAATCACAGTCAATCAGGCTGGAAAAGGTCTCTGAGATAATCAAGTCCAAMCTGTGACTGAACATCACCATGCCAAGCAGATCATGGCACTTAGTACCACATTTAGTCCCTTCTTAAACATCTGCAGGGACAGTGACTCCACCACCTCCCTGAGCAACCCATTATAATGKCTAACCACCCTTTGTGTCAAGAATTCTTCTTAATGTCCAACCTAAATCTCCCCTAGAACAGCCTGAGGCCATTTTTTTCTGTCCTGTTGCTTGTTAGCAGAGAGAAAAAAAACAATCAAACAATCTCCATCTRGCTGCAGCATCCCTTCAGACAGTTGTAGAGAACGATAAGGCCTCTCCTGGGCCTCCTGTTGTCCAGGCTGAGCCCCCCTGCTGCTCCTTATCAGACTTGTGCTCCAGACCCTTCCCCACATTCGTTGCCTTTCTCTGGACGAAACTCCCTTTTTTTTTTTGTACAGCTTGAAGCACAAAGCCGAAGGAAGATCGACAGCCCCAGCCCAGCCCTGCTCCGAGCCCCCAGCTCACCTCAGAAAGCAACAGCACAGCAAAGGTTGAAGCCGCTCCAGCCAAACCGCTCGCAAACCCTCAAATCGCCCTCAGAGCCAACGGCGCCGCTTTTTAAACCGGCCCCGAGSCGCCCATTGGCTGCTTCGACCCACGCGCCGCACCCGATTGGCTGAGCCACGCCGCACGTGCGCCAGCTCCGGGGCGGGCATGGGCGGATGGCCCCGCCCCGGAAGTGAGCGCAGCCGCGGTGCATTGTGGGGCGGCGCCGGGGCCCGGTACATAAACAGCGACCGGGGAGCGGGGCAGGAGCCGGGACTGGGACTGGGAACGGGGCAGGAGCCGGGACCGGGATTGGGAACGGGGCAGGAGCCGGGACCGGGAATTTGGGATCCGAGAGGGCGGCTGCTGTAGGGTCCAGGCAAGTGCTGGCGTTTCCAGGCCCGGTGCTGCTCCTCTGCGGTCCCTCTCTCGCGTCGCTTCCGGGGTACGCGCAGGCCCAGGTTTTACGTTAACAATAAGGTAATTTTGTTTTTTCAGCGGTGGGGGTTTATTTTTCAGGACAGAGGTATGTCAGGAATGCATAATACGGAGTTACTCATTTTACAGAGTGACGCAGAATCACGCTGAAGAGCTGTGGTGTCAGAGATAGATGCAGATATTGATCTGCAAGGGTTTTCTTTTGTGTTCTGATGTTTTTTTTCTTTCTAACAGGAGGAAAAACCAAAATGGCCTCAGGTGTCGTAGCGAATGCCCCTCCTGCAGGAGGGGCAACTGATGTGAGCCTGGAGGAACCAAAGAAGATGACGAGGGAAGATTGGAGAAAAAAGAAAGAATTAGAAGAACAGAGAAAACTAGGAAATGCWCCTGCTGAAGTGGATGAAGAGGGAAAGTAAGTTTTACTAAAGCTATGGCTATTTTAAGGCTTCTGATTATTTTCCTGTTGTGGCTACAGAACAATTGTGAGGGTAACACATGATTCCAGTGTGAGTTACTGTAAAAGCAAATAGTTGAACTTTGTCTTTTAGTATTCTAGTTATCCTCAGAAATCAGCTATTTTCCAGAAAAATGTAGTTTCAGTATTTATCTACTATGAGGTAGCAACAGTTCTGATAAAAAATCCAATGTATGCTACTAATTACAAGTGGTATTTTCAAAGTAAGCAAAACATGGTCTAGGGGAATTTTACTGTGTACCTCATCTGTTCCCTCTGCCTTGTTTCTGCAGGGCTTGTTGCATTTTTTTTTTTTTTGCTCAGTGTATTCATTACACAGAATAAGCCTTTTGATTTGTAGTGAGAATTTTAGGTGAATTAGGTGCCAGCAAAATCTTAAAGTCTGTGTTCATGAAACTGAGAATTTATTTTGCAGTGCATTGTATTAACTTTATTATTTATTATCACTCCTATAGCAGTTGAACTTTAATGTGAAGGTTATTTGTTAGACTGTTGTGGGTTTTTGCCCTGTGCCGTGTATTCATTGCACAATGTCTTTTACAGAGATATCAACCCTCACATTCCTCAGTACATCTCCTCAGTACCATGGTACATAGATCCTTCCAAAAGACCCACACTRAAGCATCAGAGACCTCAGCCAGAGAAGCAGAAACAGTATAACTCCTCTGGAGATTGGTACAAACGAGGAGTTCAGGAGGTATGCAAGCTGTTTTTGTTGTAAAATGAAGATTGGAGTTGATTGTGTAGGAAATTTCTGGTTACATGGTTTTGAGTGGGGCAAGACTGGAAATTCTTATTCAGCAGCCAAGTCACGTGTTTGGCAATAATCAAAACCTGTGTTTGGGGTTTGGGGAGGGCATGCACGCTCAGGTGCTGTTGAAAACATGAACTGCTTATTGGGAGCCCTTGTGTGAATCTGCCAAGGTGTCCCCAACACTGCCCTTTGTGTTTCCTCTCAGCACGCTGTGGCCACAAGGTACCGCAAAGGAGCCTGTGAGAACTGCGGGGCACTGACACACAAGAAGAAGGACTGCATGGAGGTAAATGTCACTTTGGCCCTGTCCTAATGGCTTTGAAAGCCATGTGAGTTGTAATCTTAGTGAAAAGTTAGCTGTAGATGAAATACTGGGTTTGAAAAAGCTGTTTTGTAAAAGGTTACAAGTAGTGGAAGATTACATGGAAATTTCTAAGGAAATTGATATGTAGGAAAAATGAAGGGGACAAGTGATACAATTCAGTGTGTCATTCATCAATTCAGTTTGTAATAAGATCTGAAATAACAGGTGAAAACATTTTCTTGTTAATTGCATTAACTCAAAGGCTGCTGTGTGTTTTTCTACTTCRTATCAGCTAGAAGCCACTGTTTTAATTGCTTTCTCAATGATAGAAAATAAAATTAAAATTTACATGGAGTCAGTTGTGCTGTGTAAAAGTGCAGAACTACTTGCATTTATTTACAAGTCACAGATACAAAGTAYTGAATTTAACTGGCTTTCAAGTAGCTTGGTTGCTTTTTAGAGGGACATCTGAGTGAGTAACCCTATGGACTGATCTAACCATCTYTTTTATTTTCTCTCAGAGACCCAGGAAAGTTGGAGCCAAATACACAGGCATGAATATTGCCCCAGATGAACATGTGCAGCCTCAGCTGATGTTTGATTACGATGGGAAGCGAGACCGGTGGAATGGTTATAACCCAGAGGAGCACATGAAAATTGTTGAGGAGTACTCCAARGTTGATTTGGTACGTAGGTGCTGTRAATAACTGGGGAGAGGGTTGGTGTTTGCTGTGTCTGGGCTGAGAGGAGGGACATTTTTAATGTGGTCTGTTGATATTAGACCTTGTGCTAAAACTAAACATTTAAACAAATGCATTTTTATGCTCTACAGGCCAAACGTACACTAAAAGCCCAGAAGCTCCAGGAGGAGTTGGCATCAGGGAAGCTGGAGCAAGTGGTAAGTAACCTTAAGCTTAAAACAGATTACTTCTGCTTTCTGATTCTTTCACTCTCTATACAGGGTCTCTTGTTGGGTTTTGTGCCCTTTAGTAATTTAAAGATTTTCTTAGCACCAGCATGTTCTGTGTCACATTCAAGAACTTGAAGCATCTTCTTTCAAATGAAAGTTGCTTTGTTTTCCCCTTATGGACAGAAATTCTGTGTGATTATTATGATTGCTAAAATTAATGACATGGAATTTTGGGTCAGAAGAACTTGTTTTCTATGTAGCAATTGCTTTTCATATATTGAAATGTTTTTTTTTTTTAATTTAAAGATTGTTGCAGTCTGATTAGTGCTGATGTAATGACTGTTAAATGACTGTGCATTAATTTAGTAATGCTTACTATAAATTGGAATAGGAAAGTGTTTATCTTAATCCTATTTGTTTCTTCTTAAGTTGCTGCTCTGACTCTTTGTAGTGTTTCTGGTTATTTGAAGTCTGAGCACATGTATTTCCCTCTTGCTTATAACTGCAGGGTTTGCATCTTCCACTAACTTCTACAAGCTCCTCTTAGATTAAAGGCTATATTGATAATTTTTGTTACGCAAGTCTAGTTTTAGAAGGTATTTCTGATTATATTCTAAGTTTACAACTTGGAGAAAAAAATAGAGACTGCTGTTGGTCAGAAGTAGGTTTTTTAATCAAGGGAAAACACCAGGCTAAAGTCTCCCTGCACAGGCTGTTTTCCAGAGGTTGTGCTGTCCCTTCTCAGGTTGTCACTAGATGGCACAGTGAGTTCAGGCTCCTACCCAGCACGAACTGCAGTGCTCTGGCCTTCCCAATAGAAAAGATTCTTCCTCTTTCCATGCCTGCTTGCACCACAGGGCAAACACTGTTGGCTACTATATACTCATTGTTTGTAAAATGGAACTGTAAGAAAAGTGTGTTTGAAACCTAAGAACTGTGTCTGAGGGAGAGGACTGAGACTGATTTGCATAGTGATTGCTGGCCAGTTGCTGGTCAGTGTTCCACRGCTCACAGCTGTTTCCATCCTTACTGCTGCAAGTATTTTTCAGTTAAATACTAAGYAGGTTTAAAAAATCTGGCTTTGTTTGTTGAGCTGAAATTAGGCTTTCTGGTTCGTGCTTAGTATTCCTCTAAATCCTGACTAAATCCTTGAATACATATCTCCTTAATTACTTTTTAAGCTTCAGAGTTGAAACTTGGTTATRTTTACATGATATGAAATGTTCTCTTCTAAACCCTCAATGTTCAACCCTCAATAGCAAGTTCTAAATAACAGCAATGACTTTAGAATTTGCTGCTCTTCCAAAGCATTGGGAATGCAGTGAAAACAGTCTTTTYTCCAACAAGTCTTTCATAGAGAGTGTTATGTAGCAGTATTTCTGCATTTTGGGCCACTGGTAAATGGTATTTTGTATCCAGCGTGAAGCTCTGCTTTGATTGCCCTTTGTATCTCTGCTGTCTTTCCTTTCCCACTGTCTTGTCCTCTCTGCTGATGTGTTCTTTGTTTGCTGCAGAACTCCCCAAGACACCAGTGGGGAGAAGAGGAACCAAATTCACAGACAGTAAGATKATTACCCACTGCACCACACCATGGGCAAAGAAGGGACCTGTAGTCAGTGGAACAGTAAAACAAGGGTGGCATAAGGGGTTGAACGTTGTGTCCACGCCCCTGCCTGCCTCTTCTTTTGGGCAGAGGTTGCTGAAATTCATAGAGAGGCTTTTTGTTTTAATTCCTATRTGTTGTCAAACCTTAGAGATGCAAGCACATCATAACTGTATTTTAACATGTGGTATGTTTTACCCAAAATAAATGTTTTCTTAATAGCATCATAGTTATGTTTTGATAACTATTTCATATAAGGAAATGAAAATTCTTTAACAAAACTATTTCAGAAGAACACACTTAAGCCCAGGTAAACTGTGCGACTTCGTAACTACAGGGATCRCAGAATTTTAATGAAACCACTAAAATCAGATTCTTGTACATGTCTCCAGAGTGGATGAACTCTTTTAGTTAGTAATTTTTCATCTCTCCTCAGGAAAGAGATCATAACAGCGAAGATGAAGATGAAGATAAATATGCAGATGACATTGATATGCCTGGGCAGAACTTTGACTCTAAAAGACGCATCACAGTCCGAAATTTACGTATTCGGGAAGATATTGCAAAGGTGAATAAAGAATTCTCTATAGATTTTTTTTTTTTCTGTATTCGTGGGAGTTAATTTCAACAAATTAAATATTTAGTTATTAATGACTTTGTTCATGGGTCTAGGGGTTTGGGGGTTAAGGTCTGTTCTCAGTTCTGTTCCTGCTCATGTTATGACTTCATCAAGGTCATCCTTTTGCATGGATAGAACTTTTTAAAACATCTAAACTGGGGGAAGCAGGAATAACCTCAGTTCTTTCAAAATCATAAATACTAAATGTTTTTTCTGTTGTTTTCTTTCCCTAGTACTTGAGGAATCTAGATCCAAACTCTGCTTATTATGATCCCAAAACAAGAGCAATGAGGGAGAACCCTTATGCCAAYACAGGCAAGAATCCAGATGAGTAAGTTAAAATGGTGTCATTCTTGGATATCCAACAAAACTCTTAARAATTGTATCAGTAGTTTTGTATTTTCTTGTACCTATATGTCGTTTAATTAATTAATCTCTACTCAGTTATGTATACACATAGTAGTAAACATGGAAAAAACTTGGTTTTATTTCGGAACACCTTTTGGTTTAGTATATAAAAGTGGTGTTTTTGTAATACTGTCTGACCCTTAATCTTCAGGGACATGTGGACCATGGTTTAATGTAATGATCTGTGGAAGGGCTAGGACACTGCTGCATCTAGAGATGATGCCTGTAAACAATAACTATATTTATAGTCTATCTCAGTAACTAAATATAAACTTTATCCCTTGTTTGTTGGGAGGCATTTAGGTCTGGAGACCAGCTCCAGAATTTGGAGTARAAGTCTCCTCCTGTATCAATGGACTCTGCATAGAAAAGGTGTGAAAGCTTTGGCATTGTCTGGATAATGTCTGGATAATCATTGGCTTAACTAAAGGTTTTGGCTGCACACTCAGCTGTCTCCCTTAAACCCCGAGTCAGACACTTGATCTGTGTGGTGCTGGGAACCTACRGAGCAGACAGGCTGTGAGTAAAACATGTATTCAGAGAGCAGTAATTGGATTAGCTCGCTGACTAAAGTAAAATGGCAGTGCCTAAATTGTATYAAATAATGCTCTTTCCACCTCTCCTTGCTCCCAGCTAAAATAATGCCAGTCAATTCTTTTTAGATGCAGATGCTTTTGCTTCTCTCTGAAGTCATAATTTGACCTTTGTTGAATCTTAAGTTTCAGCCACAGCTTTGCAGTAAATGTTTCAGAGTGGCTTCAGGAAGGTGAAAGAGTGGGGAATTGGATTGCTAGCATTATTTGATCCTCAACCTGTGTTTCATRTACTGACTGTGCATCTCTTCAAGGACTGTGCACAAGTGTCTCAGTTTTATTGAGAGCAGTGAAGCTGTTCCAGGCTTTAACTCAGCCAAATAYGCTGGGTCTGGATTGAAGAAGAGTCACAAATCCAGAAGTGAGAATCACTGTGCTGGAATATCACAGACTGTTTATRCATATTTATTGTGTAACTAGATCCAAGTTTAACTTGTAGTGCTTGGCATCTCAGATAGAACTCCAGGTCTCTGTAATGTGTCCCTGTAAACACAGATCAGGGGTTTTGAGTGGCTGTCTAATGCTTTTRTAGGAGTGTAGGTTTTCATTTCATGTATCAAGTTGAATGCACCTTCTCAGTCTGTTCTTAACTCTTAAGGCACAAGAGTACTTTTACTTGCCTGTTGAAGTTCTGTGTTTAAGGGGAAATCACATTACAAATGCTAAGAGTTGTGTTCTTTCCTGCAGAGTTGGCTATGCTGGTGACAACTTCGTTCGCTACACAGGAGATACCATTTCAATGGCACAGACTCAGTGTAAGTGGGCTTTGGGGCTTTTTGAAGGAAATTGACTTAAAATACTTAACAATGCTGCTTTCTTGCAAAAGAGAAATAAATCTTTATAGATTGARACCTTCTGTCAAATTGCTTCAGAATTAAAAAATGTAATTTGAATATGTATGTCAGTTTTAGAGTAAGTATTGAGTGAAACCTCTTGTGTACACAGTGTTTGCCTGGGAGGCTTATGACAAAGGCTCTGAAGTTCATCTTCAAGCAGACCCTACAAAATTAGAACTGCTTTATAAATCCTTCAAAGTGAAAAAAGAAGATTTCAAGGCACAGCAGAAAGAAAGCATCCTAGAGAAGGTAATAAACATTTGGTTTTATTTAGTAGGAATTCTGTGGAGTTTAAAGTCTGGGTCTTGGGGAGCAAAAAAAATTGCTAAGCCTGTGTGAAAGGGAATCTGCTGTTTTCAGCAGCTTAGACTTTAAAATATATTTGTACACACTGTTTCATTGATTCATTTTATTATTGATTCATTTTATTATTTAATATGGAGATGTTAGAAGATCTGCTGGTATTTCTTTTTATTATTGGGAGCTCTTCCCTTAACTGTCAGAATTTCTCCGCTGAAGACATCTGAGTTTCCTTCTGACTCAGGTTTTGGTGCAGTCCTCTAGATAAAYATTTGTTTTATATTGTGCAACTTGTTTCTTGGACAATTGAAAAAAACTAAATAATCCATTCAGATTCTAACCTTGTCAACATTCAGATGTGTAGTGGGACAGGAGAGTTCTGCCAGAGCTATTTGGCTTGGTCTGAAAAGTTTTCCTGCTTTGAGTGAGGAATATCACTGTTGTCATTCTTCAGGCATAAAGCAGAACAAAAACAAATAAAAACCAGACAACCCACACGCACACACACAAAACTAAACACAAAAGACACCACAGTGGCCATAGGAGGTGATGAATTTAATCTTTAGTGAAGAGTTAAGACAGAAATAATCTCTCTCCATTTTCGTGCTTTCTTCACAAGGTACCAAAGGTGCCATTTTTGAAATGTTGCTTAGCTACATAAAACCTGGTTTTTTTTCAAAACTATTGTATGTTATTTCTGCTTGCATTTTAGTACGGAGGACAAGAACATCTAGATGCTCCCCCAGCTGAACTGCTGTTAGCTCAAACAGAAGATTATGTGGAGTATTCTAGGCATGGAACAGTCATCAAAGGACAAGAGAAAGCTATTGCTTGTTCTAAGTATGAAGAGGAYGTGAAGATCAACAACCATACAGTAAGTTCTAGGTTATGATAATTTTTTTTTAATAAAATACCTTCCTATTGAAGGTATATTAGAATGCAGTACAACATAATTAGTACAGCAAATAAAKTTCTCCTATGTGACATTCTCCATTTCCTGCTAAGGAGAAATTTTAAATTGTCACCRTTGTGATGGGAAGTTGAAGAGGTGCCATGGCAGTCTTAAACTAAAGGGGAAGTTATTCTATTTGCCTTCCACTTTGAATRTGAGTTGACCACATCCTGCTGTRTTTCTCATTTTTGACAGTGTACCTGTGAGGCTCATGTGAAATAGCAAAGTATGTTTCATAGCTTCCTTTTGGACTGTCTGAATAATTCACTTACCAGGATATCAGCTCAGGRGTAAATTGCAGCCTGCCTCTTACAGGAATAACTGTATGGTGTGTTCTCTTGCAGTGCATTTGGGGTTCATATTGGAAAGAAGGCAAGTGGGGTTACAAGTGCTGCCACTCATTTGTCAAATACTCCTACTGTACAGGAGAAGCTGGGAAAGAAATTGCTGTAAGTATTCTCTTGTTTATTCATGTGGAAGGAGCTGAAAAGCATTCATCTTCCTTACTTGAATTTTGGACTGTTTTGGTTTTGGGGGAGGTTGTTTTTTTAGGAATTTGTGGGATTTATTTTTTTGCCCTTTCCCTTGTCATGTGCTCAGTAACAGGGTATCCTTGTTCTTGTCTGTTGTATAGAATACAGAAGCAAGTTTAATGGAAGAGCAGCCTGGGGAGGAAGAACACATGGCAAAACCCAAAACACTGATGGAGGTAGGATGTTCCCCTCTCTCAGGAAGACAGATGTTTCTCCTMAGCATTTTAAGAGATGAAAAGATCTGTCTTAACTACAAAACTGTGTAGAGTCGTAATAAGCCTGAAAATTACTAGACTGCATTATTAGAGAATTAACATCTCCATTAAAAACTAAGCTCTCAAATAGCATTAATAGTCTGGATTTAGTGGTTTGGACATTATTAATGGTGGCAAGTTCAATCTTAACAGTAAATTGTTTCCCACCTTCTAGATCCACCAAGAGAAACAGAAAGAGAAGAAAAAGAAGAAGCACAAGAAGAACTCAAATTCAGACAGTGAGGGTGAAGAGAAAAAGAAGCAAGAAAAACTCAAAAAGGTGAACTATAATCTTCAGTGGCTTTGCAAAAGGAACATGACATTTTTTACAGCATCAGTGCTATGAAGCCTATAATGTAGTTCTTGGATCCTGTATTTCTCAGGCAAACATTTGATAAACACCTAGTTTTGAAAGCCTTAATTTAGATAACTTAGAACATTTCATGTCAAGGCACCTATTAGACCTGTAGCTCTATGAAAAGCACTGCAGAACACAGTGATTTGTGTATTGAAGAGAATGTAGAGATCAAARACAATATAAAAGCTTAACTTAGCACTTTGTATCCCAGGCTTAGCCCAGTCTCATGGTTGGTGAAGTAAATCCATGCCCCAAGCAATTCACTGCTGAGCAGCAGTGTGCCTCAGGCTGCTCAGAGGGGAAATCAATTAAAACCATGTTAATTAAAGCAGGGTACAAATGCAATGTCTTTTGCAGTAGCAACAGTAGTAGTTTGAGGAATGGGGTAACACAAAGCATTTAAACATTAAAACTCCAAACATATACCAATACCAAAAAATAACAATTCATTTGTACTTGCTGGACCATGATTACATTTCAGGTAAATCCTGCAAGTTTCTTACTGATTTCAACATTTGGAAAGAGATTAAAGTATCTTGCTTGTAAATAGTTTTTTACCATCATTTAATGGTAAACACTGAAAAATGAGCATTAAGTAAAATGTGCTGTGGGTGAGCCATACMGATGTGCACTGTTTATCCCACCCTTGTGGTTGCCCTTTGCCCATCTTACAAAAATCTAAGACAAGCCTTACAAACCTTCATTGTTTTTTTTGTCTGTGTAACTTCCATTGTGGATTTTTTGATTCCCTTTGCTCTTGTTTCAGGCACTAAACGCAGAGGAGGCTCGACTTCTCCATGTCAAAGAAATCATGCAGTTAGATGAGAGGAAGAGGCCCTACAACAGCCAGTATGAAGCCAGGGAGCCAACAGAAGAGGAGATGGAGGCCTACAGAATGAAACGGCAGAGACCTGATGACCCCATGGCCTCTTTCCTTGGACAATAGTCACAGGGAGCATCATTCCAGTACACAAAGCTTTTTCACACTTGTTTGCAGCTCTCTAGACACATGATTCCCTTGCATGTGTCTAAAGTGCCAGGAATGGCAGAAAACTTTTTTTTGTCTCGGAGAACTTTGTGAAAGCTTCTTTTGGCAGACATGACAGTCCAGGACTTTGAGCAGTTTTGTAAATGTGTGTGTACGTATACAAATAAAGACATGTATACACACACATAGATTCAATATGTACAGATAAAATACATACACCTAGTCAATAAATTTTTGAAGGAGAAAAGATCTGAGTGAAATTTTAAGTTTATTTGGCCAACACATGTATGCATAAAGTTCTGATACAGTAAAACTGACTACTCAAAATAAATGGTCAGCAGGTGTCAATATAGAACAGAAATTGTTGACAGAAAAATTGATACAACTGCTAGAACTTTTTATTTGTAAAGGTATTTTCCTGTCTCATTACTTTAAAAGAATACATAGTTTCTTGATCACTCTGTRGTAAGTATTTTGGAAATGTAAAAATAGATTGGTTTGTACAGTTCTGGTTAAATTAATATAAAGATCTTAAGTGCTGTCTAGCCTTGTAAATGAAAGGGTTAGAGGAAGCTGACTGTAGAGCTTTTAAATTCCAKTTGTTTCTGCACATGTATTTCCATATAAATTTCAATTGTAAAGATCTGAAATCTTTGTTTTTCTTTTGATAACAGTATCCTGTTCCATGGTGTGATACCAAGTGTCAGGCTCTAATACCTTGTGAGAATGTGAGACATCATCTGCTTTGGTTTTGGCTATATTAGTCCTTAAACTGGGAGTTTTTCCCCTTTTAACTATTAAAAGTTGAAGAACTGGGTAGAAACCTGCACAGCATTACTTTAGAGTTGGATGGCTTTGGGAATTACTTCTGTTGTAGCTTAAACTGGAAAAGCTGCTCTTTTCCACAAATGATTACATAGAGAAAACACACCTTTAAGTGTCCTGTGTGTGATTTCACAGCTGTTTTGAGGACAGTGTTTTGATTTGGCACTTGCAGCTAATGATGGCAATTCTGCATTCGTCTGCAGTGTAGTTCTGTATTAATATTATATGTGATACCCTCATCAGTGATCAGAATTTTAGGCTGTGTATTTACTGAGTGACAGATCCTCTGGCCCACAATAAGTGCACAGTGTGAATTGGCTGATTTGAGCTGTGAACTGCTCTTGGGGCTGTAGCACCTGAGGTTGTGCCAGGATGCCTCCCACTGCAACTGCTGTTGGCTTGGTCAGTGCCAAGTTCAGTCTGWGGGAAGAGGAGCTGTCAGAAGGGTTCCTTAGGCTATTTACATAACTTTCCAAAAGTTCCAGTTCTGCCTAAAAAAAAGTTTGAAAGACTTAATTCATTACAGAGAAGACAATTCAGAACTAACACCGGAAATAACACGAAGGAAATTTCAAGACTGACTTTGTAAGCTGTGGATTGACCGCACAAAACTTTAATACATCAAGTCTCTGCTGAATTTATGCAAAGTGATCATTCAGTGATTTAAATTCAGTCCTAAATTTAGAATGCTTAGATTTCACCAATGAGTCAAACCCAAGCACTTGGGACAATASTTGATCCTTGCCAGATCTTTAATCTGAGCTGTAAAGGAAGAGAGCTCCTGTTTTCATAAAGGATTGTCAAGTTATTTTGTTAACCTTGAGAGGACAGTGTGTTATCCTGAGACTTGTTCTCAAACATCTGGAACATTTATYTGATGATTTTAATAAAACTCATGCATACATTTCCAGCTAAAATACTCCAGTYAGATGGATAAACATTTGTCAAAGTAAAGAGCAGGAAACGTGAGCTGATGCTGATGCACTGAGAACCTTTCAGGAATACACAAACCTGTCTGGTTTTCATCACAAATATGAAACGACATCTCTCCTCTTTGGGAGTTTATTTGTGGTGCAGCATTCCATGCATGGAACTATGCAAGATTATTTCTTGGATCATGAACTTTTATGCACCTGTCCCTGTTACTATGCAGGCTTCTTCAACAACAGGAAAGGACAAGGGTCAGAATTCAAAAATACCTTCTTGCTGTTCACCTGCCCAGGAGTAATGACACACTGGACTGTCCACTGAACCTGTGTTTAATAAAATTTCAGTCCTGCTTTGAAATAAATGTTTCATATTAATATTTCTTATGATAATCAATATAAATCAGCAAGGGGTTTTTGTGTGGAAAAAAGTTACTAGTATAAAATGGTAAATACTTATTTTTAGATTGTCAGCAACCTTTCCTTGGGTTGTGGTTTATGGTTTTAGATAGTAAAATACTATTGAGGTGAGTTTTGTGACAATCTCAGAGCATGTAAAATGTAAAGGTTTGACCTAAGATTTTGTCAGATTTCTGTGACTAATCACCATGAACCAGTTCTTGGGATCTGCTGTTCTGCCCTTGAAATGGTCACAAAAGGCTGCATATTGATTGCTATAGTTGAATTATCTGGTACCTAAAATATCCCAATCCATTGTTATAGAGCCATTTGTAGAAGACTCGAGAATTACTTATCACTACATGTTACAGAAACCCAAGAGTCAGCAACTGTAAGTTATCAACACTATCAGAGTTGGTCAGAAGTGACCAATGTCTCAGTTCTCCGAGCTGCCCTATTGAGCTCTCCAGCCCACAACAGCTTGTCTTGTGTCAGGGGGTCCCATCCAAGGCTTAAGAACAGACATACAATTTATATTTCAGTCCAATCCAGGCCTAGTGTGGTCAGTCTGCTTGTGGCAGTTTGCTCCTGTCCCTGCTTCCCTCCTGTTCTTTCACCTGTCCCTGCAGCTGCAGACCATTTGTAGAAGCTCCAAGACAATTTAATTGTAAGGTCACAAGGGTAAAACTCTCTCCCCACAGTGTTTACTGCTTTAGCTGCCTCCAGCACTGCTAGGAGGCCTCAGCAGGAGTTAACCACCTAAAAAAATGTCCTCCCACATTCAGGAGTGTTTTGCAGGCCTTACCAAGTTACTGGCTGTTGGTTACACTGCTGCCCATGGCCACAGTTTGGTCATTCTTTGATGGTTTTGATGCCCTGAATACCTTGGGGGGAAAAGAAGGTTCAATTTGGGAGGGAAGTGGCACGAAAACAAAATCTTGTACTTTCAAGATTTTGTAGATAAGCTGAAAAAGTGATTTCTGAWATGATTTGAAGCAGTTCTTGCTTTACTGATTCATTTGTCAGACTGAAAGTGCATGTGATGGGACAATGCCAAAACGCAGCTCCAGGCAGATCTTTGGCTGGCAAGGTTCACGTCTCTCATACTTCTACCAGTGCAAAACTTTGAGTTTCCAATTCCAATCTCATGAGAATTCCCTGCAAACCCTTGACTGAAAGCAGTTGATTAACTGGAGACTCTGCTTTTCGCCGTGAGCAGCATCTGTTCCTCGGGAAGCTCGGCTAATGTTTCTGCCATGTGGCACTTCCCAGCGAGGGCTGTGCAGCCCCACATATCCCACAGATCCCACAGATCCCACAGATCCCACAGATGCAGAACCAGAGCCGAGCTTACAAGGATGTGAGCAGCTTTGGGATGTCTCAGTCCCTCCCTGCCCTTCCTTTGGCACTGCTGCTCTCCTTTCCCCAGGGCAGACCCCGAGCCCAGCGCAGAGGAGACGGGGGGCCGTGGTAAGCAGCACAGTTTGGGGAATGGCTTTGGGGCTGTTCTAGAGGTGTTTATGGGATGGTTTTGGGGTGTTCCAGACATGTTTGTGGAATGTTTTTGGGGCTGTTTCAGAGCTGTTTGTGGAATGGCTTTGGGGTGTTCCAGAGGTGTTTGTGGGATGGTTTTGGGGCTGTTCCGGAGGTGTTTGGGGAATGGCTTTGGGGCTGTTCCAGAGCTGTTTATGGGATGATTTTGGGGCTATTCCAGACCTGTTAGGGGAATGGCTTTGGGGTGTTCCAGAGGTGTTTGTGGGATGGCTTTGGGGTGTTCCAGAGGTGTTTGGGGAATGGCTTTGGGGGTATTTCAGAGCTGTTTGGGGAATTGGTTATAACAACMAAAATAATKAATTTTTAATMTGTTGTATTCCTTGTGTTAGGTTATAGGTTGATGCTTCCTTAAATGTTTTTTAAAATGCCTTTTCCTAGAWGTCTCCATGRTATGTCCTTTGTACTAGCTTGCAGTGAAAAGGAGTGTGTTCAGTAGGGTCTGCTGCCCAGWGGATTAGGTTAGGAAATTCTTGAGTGGGCGTTTCAGGAAAAAAACCYTGAAAATTTAAGCATTTTCTGTATTAATGAAACCCTTCCTGTATTAAAGAAACCCCTCCCAGCTTTGGGGCTGTTTCAGAGGTATCAGGGGGGGTTTGTGGAATGGCCTTTGTTGGTGTTTCAGTGGCGTTTGGGGAATGGTTTTGGGGGTGTTTCAGATGTGTTTGGGGAATACTTTGGTGATGTTTCAGAGGTGTCTGGCAGGGTGGGAGGCTCAGCAGAACCTCTTCAACACACCAATGGAATTTGAGCTTTCTCGTGGTACTCTTGGGTCTCTTGGGCTTAAGAATCTGTGACCATAACCTGAAGTGACCCCGCAGAGCTCTCCAGGGGCACGGTTATCTAACAGGGGAAATCTGCACTGGTCAATAGAGCAGGGAACTGGAAATAAACAACCTGCTCCCTCCTGCCCTTAACTTACTGCATGAAAGTGGCTGAACAGCTCTGTACCCCCAAATCTGTCCATTGAGGAGCTTTCCTCTGCTCCGAGAAGTGCTGAGTTTAAAGCAAATTTACATATATTTATATACATATTGCAAGTAATTCTGCGTAATTATATAAAGCAAAATGGTAAAACAAAAGGAATGTGCAAATATTAAATAAAAAAGAAACGTTTTCCAGGTTTGTAAGTCAATTGTCATCATTAGATGAGACTAACAGAATTTTACATTGTGTCTCTAGAAAAACTGCTTCTTTTCACATGTATAAAATCAAATTAAAAAAGCAGAGCTCAGTTGTAGCATYTTGTATATCCCCTCATAGGACTTTCAGAATTGACACCTTCTGTGCTTCCTGTTTTCTGTTAGTAACTTCTTACAACTTTATCACATGAAAAGCATCTTGAAATTTGTTYCTGAGTTTTTTTCCAAAGTGAAAACACTTGCAGAAGCTGTTGGGAAATTTCCACTGTGCATGGTTTGCAGGATAAGGTTCTTATTAGCAGGAATGTTTTCTAGAAAAGAAAATATGTGCTTCCTAAAATATTAAATGTAAAATGGCTTTGATATCATTCTGTCATCCTGGTGCTTTCTGAAGTTCAGGGAAACTCCAAAATTTAAATGATTAACTGGCATTTCCAGACTCCTGSCCAAACTAACACTTACCACATGTGAATGTTCTGTGATTAATGAGCCAGGTTTGCTTGGAGCCCTCTGAGACCCTTTTTAGTGTTTGATTATTAGAATAATATTGCTTTTACGTGTGAAAATATGTGCTCAAGTCACATTGGGAGACAGYCTGATTTTTTTTTTCAAAAGCTRCATTGATAGAAWCACAGGATGRTTTGGGYTGGAAGGGWCCTTAAGGATATCCAGCTTCACCAGCCTGCCCAGAGCAARGCCACTTTCCACTAGATCAGGTTGCTCCAAGCCTTTTCTAGGAATGAGGAGCCCAAGGAAGAGCCCACATTGCAGAGCCAGYTCAGATCCTGCTGGGTTTGTGCACTTCACAGCTCCATTGCAGAAAACAAAAGCACACAAGAAAGAAATACCTGTTGTCAGTCATTATCCTGARTTAGACTGTCCTCAAAACCCAGACCTTCATGCTCTGTGTCTCTGCTGTTCCCCTGTAATTTTTGCCCTGAGCCCCTCCACGGCTGCCCCTTCATCACTGTCCCTTGGTTTATTGGGAACATGGCAGAGCTGCCCTGCTCTGCATCTGGAAYTTAATCATGTAATGCTCCTTTTTCTTTGGCATCTCGTGAGCACATGATTTATTCAAGCTCCTGTAACAAAGCCCCCATTGTGCTGAGGTCGGGAGGGAAGCAGGGAGTGGCTGCTGCTGCCTCTGTGTGTAACTGGAGCGACAGCCCCAGGATCCTCCCAATGGATTGTGCTGAGTGCAGGGGACAGCAGCACTCACCTGATGGCAAAGCAGGCAGCAGCTGGCATTGCTGCTTTCAGCAGGACCCCTGCCCCAGGGGGACACCGTGACCCTCTCTTCTTACTCCCCTGGCGTTTCAGAGTGTTAAAGAAATAAACAGATCACCCTTCCTATGGGAGCTGTTTGTTTGCACTCTGTGCTGCTCTTTTAATACCTGGCTGCAGTGTGGTTCCTGAACACATTTTATAAATGTAGTGACAAGTTGGGTTTAAATTCTGGTTTCATAAATATCTGGAAAAATGAAAGTACACAGCTTCTGATGAAGGACGCACTCCCCAAGCAAAATGTCCCAATTCTTTTTTGAAGGCTCTCTCATTTAAAGAAAGACTTTTGCCATTGATTTCTGTGGAATCATTATCAGACTCAAGTGGATTTCTGGTACATCTCTGTTTGATGGCAGAGTGCTGGGCACATCTGTGTTCCAGGTACCAGCTCTGCAATGAGCTCGGGTGATCCCAGGCTGGAGGGACAGGCCCTGATCCTTTTCATGTTTCCTGCCCACTCCTTTTCATATTGAGGGAAGCTCAGCAGCTTCTGGTCTCTCCTCTCTCCTCTCTCCTCTCTCCTTTCTCCTTTTTCCTTTCTCCTGACATTAACTCAACACTCACCCAATTCCTCCATTAACTCTTTCAGCTCAACAAACCATCAGGAAACAAAATCAAAACCCTGATCAGCTCCTGGCAGATCAGCAAAGTGACCCATCTGAGCAGAGTCCAAGGAGCAGAGCTGCAGCCAGGCTGGTGTGGGGGACAGGGGAGAGATGGRTGAGGGYAATCTCTGCCCYTCCAGCAGCACCTCAGACTCATTTCCATCCAAATGGCTTGAGCACATTGTGCTCTGAGGCTCAGGGATGCTGGTGATCTATGAGCCACRTGAAATGAAGTTCAGCTGCTTTGAGAAACAGCATTAAACAGTGAAATAAACCACTTACCCAGRCTGGTACAGCCCCTTGATTCAGAAAGTGAAAATATCCCAGGGCTGTGTGTGACACAGGGCTGTGTGACAGGCTATTTTCTGAGGATTTTCCTATGGGTTCAAAGAGCCCAGGCATTGCTGGTGTAGCTCTTAAATGTGCTCACACATGGTTTCAGATGGAAAAACAAAATTTGGTTAGTTAAATATTTGTTTACTTTTCTCATCAGGCTTCCAGATATAATTTGATTGTTACCACCCAAAGATCTACCCTTATAAATTTTACTTTATATTTAAATCTTGTAACACAACTCAGTCAAAGCTCCCAGTGAAGATTCACATGACTAAAAGCAGCCATATCACTTCAAGGGAGTTTTTGGCAAGGGTGCTTTCCCCAGSACAGAGCTGCTTCTTTCAGCTCCATGCTGCAGCCAAAAACCCTGTTCCTTGCTTATAGTGCTGAGAATTGGGAAACCAACCTTGGAAGAAGCATGAGGGAAGGAAACTTCTCTAAATTGCTTTGGCTGCCAAATATTTTGTATTAAACCAGGGGCTGAAGGAACACGGGGACCTGTCTTTGATCCATGCAACATCAGGATGACTTAGAACAATAGTAGTGACTTTGTTAACCTTCCTTCTGTAAACTATTACCAATTAACTAGATAATAGGCAATGAAAAAAAAAAAAAGAAAGAAAGAAAGTTGGTTATGTTTGTTATAAGGTCATGCAGAAGGATTAACTCCTCTAGGAATTATTGGATTCTAGTGAAAAAATAATGAATATGTGCCTGTAACAACACTGGCTTAGTCCCCTGCCCTGCGAGCTGGTGGTCACTGGGTAGGGCAGCCACATCTGTGAGGCCTGGGGCTGATGAGATCTCTCAGGGATATTACTGAGTCCATTAGGCTGCTGTGACTTGGATGGTTTTGGTGGCTAAACCCCAGGATTTTTATTTTTCYTTGATATCAGAACTGACCCAGTTCCACAGCGAGGGCCTGCACAGCCATCTGTGTCCCAGCTGATGCCAAGGAATGAAAATAACCCCGAGAGGTAACAGCCCTAAAGGGAGGGTTTATGGGCAGCATTTGCTGTTTGTGCTGCTTCCCCTTTGGACTGCGCTCTCCAGCACCTGGTGAAAGAGGCTGGAAGGCAGAAATGCTGGGAACAGCCCTGCCCACTGGGGGTGGATTTATCCTGCTTTATKGGGCCCAGACAGGGATGGGGCAGCACATTTGGGGCTCTGGGAGAGAAGGGTCAACCCATGAGAAATTATTTTAGTGTTGAGTTTGTGTGCTGKCCCTGCTGCCTGTACACATTTCTGTTGTGTTGGCACTGTCCCCTGGCACTGAAGGGGMAGKGGCAGAATTTGGGGTGCCAGGGAAYGGGGAGATGACATTTTCCATGGTTGTGCTGATCATTGATATTTGCAGCTTTTATCCAGAATTGAAAGYTCCTGTCTGCAGGAGCTGCAAATGAGTGCAGGGCACATCCCAGCRCAGTGCAGATTAGGCAGAAAATCTGTAAAGTAGCATTAGGATGCAAACTTTGGCCTATAATCCTAATTCTTGCTTTTCTACTCWCAGMAGTTCTGTGCAGCAACTGTGGCMGTGCTCAGAAATGAAATGGCAACCACTGTCATTGTTATCAGGAGTGACATGAGGTTCTAGGAAAGCACCAGCTGTAAAAATTCAAGGCTTCCCCTGAAAGTCTYAGCTTTCAATTAAGAAATCCACCATGTATATCAATATTTCTGGGTGTRAAGAAAAGTTTGAAAACACATCAGTATACTCTGAAAACTTAGGTACCAAAGGACAAGTAAAATGAACCTCAGCTCTGTTGTTTTTGCAAAATGCTCTGTTTGTTTGAACTCTTGGCCCTGTTTATTATTGTTACCATAAGTTTGTCAGTTGCAAACCAAAGCRAACTTTGTGATTTATAGATCTCCTGAGAATACTTTGGGTATTTCCTAGTGCTGATGAGTGGGTGGTGGAGCTCATGGCTGGTACAGGGGTGAGGTTTCTGCCTTGGTGCTGTCACATTCTCTGGAATTAACGTGTTCCAGTGCTTTTAATTGCCAAGAGCAGCTGCAAATTCTCTCTTGAGGGTGTCCCCATCCCATCTCAATCAYTATTAAGCATCTTACCTGTGATTGAATCCAAGGATAGAGCAAAGGGCAACTATTAACCCCAAATGTACARCACTTCACATGGAAGCAGTAGGGAGGTTTCATTGCTGGTTTCTGTGACACAGGATTCACTGGACAGTGGGGCCCTAAAGGAGCCCTTCCCTGCTCCCTGTGAGCTCTGCCCAGTGCTGGTTTTTATGACACAAGGATTTACTGGACAGTTGGGCCCTAAAGGAGCCCTTCCCTGCTCCCTGTGAGCTCTGCCCAGTGCTGGCTTTTGTGACACATGGATTTAGTGGACAGTTGGGGCTCTAAAGGAGCCCTTCCCTGCTCCCTGTGAGCTCTGCCCAGTGCTCCACGAGTGAGTGTGGCTGCAGAGCCCTCTGGAATCCAGCCTTGGAACAATTCACTGTGAGACACACACCATTCGAGCTGCAGGCCATGTGAAACATTTAATAACTTATTCACACGGCAGCTGGTTTGTCAGTGAGGAGGATTTGGAACACGTGATTTATGGTTGGGGATAATTTTGTGATTAGTGAATGKTATTATCACACTCACAGTGCTGTGTGCTAGTGCAAGTTACTGGTGACACTTGCACTGGTTTAGAGCTCAGATTTGGTGGCACTGTGGTGACAGGGCTGTTTTCCCAGGGCTCTGCAGTTTTGCAGTTTCAAGTGAATTGCTGACACTGCACCTCACAGAGGCTTTCAGCACCCTCAGCTTAGGGGGGGGTTGTGTTTGTTTTCAAGAGTCCTACAGTTATTAATGAGTTTATCCTGACAAGAGTGTGGTAAGGAGAGAGTTGTTCATCCCCAATTCACACACAAGAGACACTTCATTTAAGGGCCTTGAACTTGGATGTCTGCAGAGCTCTCTCACAGAGACAGAAGTCAGGCACTGTGCTGCATCTGGAAAAGTCTGGACACTCTCAGTTCTGACATCTTGAAATGTCTTTAAATATCCTCCTTCTGTAAGGGCCAAACCTCACAAAGACCTGTAATGAATCCCAGAGCCAAACCAAACTCTCCACAGGGAATATCTCTGCTGCAGGGTTCAGCTGTTGGTGTCCTGGGAGAGGAGGAGCTGCTGAATTAACCCTCTGAGGTGCAGGGTGGGAATGATGCCTTTGAAAATTCCTATTTTCTCATGTGGTGTGCTGGAACCTTGATTATTCYTGCAGGACTGAGGCCAGGCTTGTCTGCAGCGCTGTCCCAAACTGTTCATTCTCTGACAGACCTGCACAAACATTTCAGTGGCAAAGGGAAAGCACAGAGGCTCCTGTGCACAGGAGGCACCAGCTCTGCCCCCAAACCAGAGCCCTGCTCATCACCTGGCACCAGGATTGCTCAGCTTTGCCTTTTTCCCACACTGCAGGGATTTTTTCTCTCATGTCTCAGACTGCTGGAAACTCCCCTCACCTCCTGTTGCAGAACACTTGATCAGATACCAAGTGACTGCTGGGTGAAAACAGGATTAAATGCAATGACTAAACACTGGATTAGTTACTGAATAACTTCCCAGGAGCCCTTCTCCATACTTGGGGAGTTACTGAACACATGTGCAGGTGAAAAGGGAATTGGGCTGTGGGATGGCCTGTTTCTAAACAGGATTTTGGAGAGAAGCCTGTGTGGCTGCTCAAAGAAAAACTTCAAATATGGATKAAATGAATCATCAGTGAATAGTATTCCAGAGGTTCTTCAGGCTCAGGAGAAGCAGACTGAGACTTTACCAATAAAATTATCCCTGTTCTCCTGCAGTAACCCAGATCCAGGCTCTCTGCACTGGCACTGGCACAGCCTGGCTGGAGAGCAGGGTGAGGCCAAGCACAGCCCAAAGGCTCAGTCTGTTCCCACTGAAAACACTTTTCTCTGTCCCAACAAGTGAAAAAACCATAGCCACAGATGAGCAGATTATTTTTGTAGCAAATGTGGAAGGAATGCCCAGTTTTCCCTTAAAAGACAATRCATAACAAATCATAGAGCTGTGGCCTGCATGGCATTATCCAGCTTAGTTTGAGGGAAAAAATAGTGGCACAAAATCAGCTTATTTTTTAAGCCCAGCTGGAAACTAGTGGAATTCATCTCACCAGATAAGGCCATTATAAAATATATCAGGCTTCATCACATATATTTGGAGGCAGAAAGAGTTTATTGCGGAGGCTTGAGTTGATTGAGATCACAGGACGCAGATGAAAGCCTCAGTCTGTGTGCCTTCTGTGCTCTTTTATRAGAAAAATACTTTAAAATCATTTAAAAGCCCCACAAACAAAACCTGCAGCATATAAAACACAGCTTCAGAGTTGCCTTGAGCTGCATTAACTTTACTGTACAACGCTTTCTGTCTCCCCCACAGAAAAAAAAGTACATAATCTTTTGAGAAAATGAAATCTAACTGCTTTGTTAGATTAAATCTAACTACTTCCAGTTGGATTTAATTAGTTTTTGTCTAGCAATGCTTCTCTGGCAAGGGCTCTGGGCCAGCACGCTGCCGTGACCCCGGGCTGGGGACAGCAGGGACAAGGTGAGGGATGGCATTCCGGTGGGATGCACAGGGTGCACGGGGTTTTAGGGTGGAGAGGCCTCACCTGCTCTCCCCTCCGTGGCCTTGGCAGCATATTCATGGAATTTTTCAGCCGTGCCCACGTGGGAGCCGTGGCCGGCGGCCAAGAGCTCAGGCAGAAACGGCCCCGTCGTTAATGATTGACTGGTGAGATAATGAAATAGCCCAGCCCWCGGTTTGCTTGCTTTCCTTCGGCACCGCCACTGGCCGGCTGCTGTGCTCAGGGGGCCCTAAAGCAGGGCAGTGTCCGGCCGGTGACAGCCGCGATGCCCGCGGAGCATCCCGGCCATCCCGGCGCATATCGGAGCATCCCAGCGCATCCCGGTGCATCCTGGCTGTTCCCGGCACATCCCGACGCATCCCGGCGCATCCCGGCTCATCCGGCTCATCCCGCCCATCCCGGTTCATCCCGGTTCATCCCGGCGCATCCCGGCGCATCCCAGCGCATCCCGGTTTATCCCAGCGCATCCCGGCACATCCCGGAGCATCCCGGTTCGTCCCGGCTCATCCCGCTCACCCCAGTTCATCCCGGTTCATCCCGGCGCTCCGGTGACCAGGTGAGAGCCGGGGATCGCCTCCGCCGCTCGGGACAGCGCTGACAACTCTTCGGGCTGTGATTCCGCACCAGTTCTGCTGCGCTGACTCCCCGAGCTTTTCCGGAGCGTTGGTTCCCGTGWTTTAAAGAGAATATTGGCGGTAGAAGTTTTGCTGTGTGTGCTCGCTGTGAGCACTCCTGCAGCCTGCTGGAGGTAACCCTCTGTGCGAGGAGTCCCTGCCCATGGCCCGGGGCGGAAAATGGATCAGCTCTAAGGCTCCTTCTCACCCAAACCGTGTTGTAGTCCTGTGATCCTAAAGAGAGCAAACAGCCTCTCAGTGTCCGTGTGTTTTCGATGCCTTACCTGGTACACGCCGTCTCCAGCAGCTGCTGKGCTGTTTGTGTGTTTGCTTTATGCAAGAAAAGAATGGAAAGAACATTCTGGTCACTCTGCTGCTTATGTGGTGTTTGCTGTGAGTCTGGAGAGCAGCGATTGTGCTGGCCCACAGTCTGAGTCGCTGCTCCTTAGCCCGTGGGTCAGGGCAGAGTTTGGGGAGGGGTTCTGTGAGATCCTGCCTGCAGACCTTTGGGGCCGCAGTGCGTGCTGGAGCTGCTCACTCATCTCTCCTGATGAGCAGATTTTCCTCCATCTCAGCAGAGTCCCCTGAGCAGCTGGAGGGTGCCACACACCCCTTGGACCTCACTGGGTTTGGGGCAGAGTTTGTGTGATACGTGGCTTTGGGAGATGCACTCGGCCATGCTGGGTA